CCTTATATATAAATTAATTTTTCTTTCATTATCTCGAACTATTTAAGATATCAAAAAATATTTTATACAAAAGTTTTATTGTAAAATTATCTCTATTCATTTACGTTAATAGAATTTTTTTTAATGATTATTTTCAAAAATTTTCACAAAGTTTTTAAAATATAATTATTTTAAAAAATATTATCGTAAATAAATAAAGATAATTTTACTGTAAAACTTTTGTATACAACATTTTTTGATATCTTGAATAGTTTTCGAGATATAACAAAAAAAAATTAAATATTGTTTAACTTTAAAGGATATTATAATTTTAAAATTTTTATTGCGTTTTTCCATCGCAATTGATATTTTGTAAATTCATCTGTTTACGTAACCTATGTGTATAAAATTTCATTAAAATTATAACATGACCCTTTTGTTATAAAACTAGTTGTATATTCAAACATATTAGTCAAAAAATGTTTTTCTTTCATGACAAAACATAATCATTTCCACACCACCTTGCGGTATATACACAGTTTGTTTACAATGGTTTGTTCAATAGACCTAATCCATTCTCATTCTTTAATACATGAGTTATTCAAAATGCTGTACTCCCTTTTGACTAGCTTTTAGGATATTAATATTTAAATTAACATTTTTATTTTGAATAATTTTTGAGACATAATACTTAAAATATTTTTATTTTAAATATAGTTTTTATCTATATTATTATTTTCTTTATTACGATATTATTAACTAACATGAAAGTAATACCATTCTTATAATATATCAAGTATTACGTGTTTAAATGCTATCATTAATTACTGTGACAATGATATCATTTATTTTTATATCAAGTATGATGTACGTGCTTGATATTTATTAACGGGACAATAATATCATTTTTATATCAGATTTGTGTAATTAATTGACTCGATTTTGATGTTATCACGTCAATTAGTAATAATATCATAATATACACATGTGATATAAAATACATGCTTGATATTTAAGTTTTTTGTCATGATTAACACGTATATAAGTAACAGAAAACTTACAATAATTTCATTATGAGTATACCGTAAGAGTAACGAATAAGTGTAAAAATCAAAAAGTGCAAGTATTCAAAATGTTACAAGTAAATCCTGCAAATATTTTTAATATGCTAATAATTTTGTTTCAAATTTCAAAAATTCCAGAAACGCCTGTAAACGATAAAAAAATTAAATTACGTGATATGATAAAAAATATTATACAAACGTCAATGGATGAAACGTCATTTGATATTCAAACCGATACTACGTTAGAATTTGAAAATTATTGAGAATCAAACTTATCTGATGCACAATTTGTCGCGGATGACGATATCGAAACACATGAAGAAGATGATGAAAATGATGATCAAGCAGAAGAGAGTTGTACATCAGAAGAAAGAGAAATTGTTAATGATGGCTATAAAAGAAGAGTCATTGAATTTTGAAAAAGTTTAAAAAAGGGGCGGCATTCTCTTTCAACCGTAAAAAACCGTTTTAGAAAGGTGTTTTTCAACTAAATCAGGCTGGTGTTAGGCAGCTGGCAGGTTCGACATGGATAAAATTAATAACGATGAAAGAGGTAACGGACGAGGAGCCACTCGTGAAACCAATAATGGTGGTGGTCGAAGAAAATGTCAAGAATGGGACCATGTTATTAATAAGTGTTGCAAATATTGTAACATTCAAATTTCTTTTGGAACAGTAAAAATAGAGCGAATTAAAGTACATTTGAAAAATTGTCAATGTCAAAATTATATACGACAACAAAGTCAACAAACATCTAATATTAGTAATACCGAAAGTGATGAACATGAATTAGAAATTATTGATAGCGCTAATAGAGATATTGATAATATAATCACTATTATTACGGGAGAGGATTCTTAAGCAGAGTGTGACCAGTTAATCTGGGATGAGGTAATCGTCGACTTGTTACTTATTTGAATAAAATACATGCAGGGCTGGGCATATTTCAAATACTTGTATTTGAAATACAGTATTTGAAATACAATTTGTA